GATTTCATGGTGGCAAACACTCAAAGGCCACCTGAACTCCACGAACCTAAGTTTAGTGTTTTCTATAAAACACTAAAAATCAGCCATTTTGTGACAATTTATTCTAAACCTCTTTGTATTTGCAAATCGTAATAATTGGGACAATCCAGAATTTAATGTTTAAATTCAGCCTATAGATGCGTATTTCACATTATCATACAAACCACTAGAGTCATAAAATTTTAAACTGATCACCCACCAAAGTGCATAGTTGAAAACCAGTTAAGTTAAACCATTTGAAACGGAGAACAGTTCAGATTTCAAAATCTATTTAAGCTGCCAAGATTAGCTATTCGAGATTGAAAGCTTTCAAAATGTCTTATGTAAATAAAATAGATAAAAATGGCGTCTACTCGTGCAGAAAATATGAAATCGTGATTTCAGTCATGTAAATTTTTTTCCAAAGGGAACTCAGTCGAGTTGGATCGGAAGAAAAAAGAGCGAATAATATTCATTCATTTATTTCAAATGGCAGGCATTTTGATAGTTATCATTAGCCCTTTAGCTGACTTCGGGCTTCACAGGGTAAGGAACGTCAAAGTAACAGGAAGTCAAGGGGTGGGGAACAGAAGATTGATTTATTAAAGCAACGATATATTTGTGCATATAAATTGTTGGAGCATACGAATAGATTCTAGTAAAACTAACTGAACTTTCCGTATGATTGAATTGATGTTTGAAAAGCCAGATACTTCGAAGTACATTCAGAGCCCCTTAGCTTTCAATCCCACGAAATAAAAGGCAAAACAATTAAAAGTTTAATGTTGAGCATTTTTGTTATCTAAAAGTTACTGCTAAATCTCTTTTCATAAACTGGTGATATCTAGGAAAGCGCATCAACTCACAATATAGGTATATTATAGAAGAATTCTTTAATTCATGTAAGTGCCATAAGCATGATGAGTGACGCTTCTAACACATAACAATGAAAATTCTAACATCTTTCTTGTGAACAAAGTATTTCAATGACCTTAAAGTTTGAAGGTAACTTCACATTTGAGTTTTTTGATTTTTTTGCTATTTACATGAACTGTTTATTAGTATAGCTTCTACCATGTATGAAATTTGCAGTTTTGTGTTTTCATCTCAAAAAAATTGCGTAGATTGTTCGAATGTACATCTTTATTAGGGATTATTGATGTCCTGGGAGTTTATTTTATCTTCCAGACTGGAAAAGTGTGCGCAAACATACCTCTTCACCTTAATCATTTTTTTTAATTTTTACGGGTTTTAAAACCATTTCGCCAATGCAGCGCTATTCAGTTGCAATACAAATTCACAGCGTTCAAAATGAAATATTTAAGCATTAAAGCCTATGTTTTATGATATTTTTACTTATTAGAAGGGACAGCATTCGTTAAACTTTTTCACTAATTGCCTTTCCGTCCTTTTTAATAAAAATTTATTTAAATGAAATAAATGCTGACGTTTTGATGACGATGCATAAGGCTTTGACCAATAGGATTCTCACACATAATAAATAGGGGTATATATATCCGCCATTACGCTTGCTTCATTACTTTTGATAACATGGGTGTTTGGACTAACGTATTGGTTACGTTTCTTAGTATTCTCGCACTTTCGCGGTGTGAATCTGGTAAAACAGATTATGGAACTGTAATTGGTATTGATCTCGGAACCACTTATTCTTGGTAAGTGCGTCCTGTAGTGAATCTAGCTTTATCTATTTAGTGTTGGTGTCTTCAAAAATGGACGGGTTGAAATCATCGCAAACGATCAGGGCAACCGTATCACACCGTCGTACGTCGCTTTCACAAACACTGGTGAACGTCTTATCGGCGATGCTGCCAAAAACCAACTGACATCGAACCCTAGAAATACTCTTTTTGATGCCAAGCGTCTTATAGGCCGAACCTTTGATGATAAGGATGTTCAGGAGGATATGAAACGATATCCTTTCAAAGTCATCAAGAAGGGTGACAAACCATACATGGAAGTTCAAGTTGGCGATGAGGTCAAGGCTTTCGCTCCTGAAGAAGTCTCGGCCATGGTTTTGGGCAAGATGAAGGAGGTTGCTGAGGCTTATCTCGGTACTCCGGTTACCCATGCCGTAGTGACCGTGCCAGCCTACTTCAATGATGCTCAACGTCAAGCAACCAAAGATGCAGGTGCCATTGCTGGTCTAACTATCCTTCGTATCATCAATGAACCAACTGCCGCAGCTATTGCCTACGGTTTGGATAAGAAAGAAAGCGAAAAGAACATCCTTGTATTCGATTTGGGTGGTGGCACCTTCGATGTCTCTCTCTTGACAATCGACAACGGTGTGTTTGAGGTCGTAGCAACTAATGGGGATACCCATCTGGGTGGTGAGGACTTCGATCAACGTTTGATTGATTACTTTGCTAAGTTATACAAGAAGAAGGAGGGTAAGGATATCATGAAAGACGTTCGTGCTGTTCAAAAGCTCAGACGTGAAGTTGAAAAGGCTAAACGTACCCTAAGTACTGAGCACAGTACTGTTATTGAAATCGATAGCTTTATTGATGGTAAGGATTTCTCTGAAACACTCACCAGGGCCCGGTTTGAAGAACTAAACAATGATCTCTTCAGAAGCACTATTAAACCAGTAGAAAATGTTATGAAGGACTCGGATCTCAAAAAAGAAGATATTCATGATATTGTCTTGGTTGGTGGCTCGACTAGAATTCCAAAGGTTCAAGAACTCGTCAAAGAATTTTTCAATGGCAAGGAGTTAAGCAGAGGTATCAACCCTGATGAGGCTGTTGCATATGGTGCTGCTGTGCAAGCTGGTGTCATAAGTGGTGTTGAAGATACTGGTGATATCGTTCTTCTTGATGTCTGCCCACTTACTCTGGGTATTGAGACTGTTGGTGGTGTTATGACAAAACTCATTGGCAGGAACACCGTAATTCCTACAAAGAAGTCTCAAGTCTTCTCTACTGCTGCTGATGACCAACCAACTGTCACCATCCAGGTCTATGAAGGTGAACGTCCCTTGACCAAAGATAATCATTTCTTGGGTAAATTCGATCTTACTGGCATTCCTCCGGCTCCACGCGGTATCCCACAAATCGAAGTCACATTTGAAATTGATGTGAACGGCCTTCTGCAAGTGTCTGCCGAAGATAAGGGCACTGGTAAAAGAGAAAAAATCGTTATCAACAAAGAGACCAATCGCTTGAGCCCTGAGGAAATCGAGAAAATGATCCAGGACGCTGAAAAGTTCTCGGATCAGGACAAACAGGTGAAGGAACGTGTTGAGGCTAGAAATGAATTTGAGAGTTTGGCTTACTCTGTCAAGAACCAAGTGAAGGACAAAAAGAAATTGGGTGACAAGCTGACCGAAGAAGATATCAACACCATTGAAAAGGCCGCTGAAGATGCTATTAAATGGATGGAAGATCATCCACAAGCTGAAACAAGCGAATACAAGGAAGAGAAGAAGAAATTAGATAGCATTGTTCAACCAATTATCAGCAAGCTTTATCAAGGACCAGGTGGTGCTCCACCACCTCATCCAGGAGGTAGTGATGAATCCATGCCCAAGGAAGAATTGTAGATGCCTGCTTCTTGATATTCGTGTTTCCTTCTCTTTCCTCTTGTGTACAGTACATTTTGGTAGGAGAACTTGTTTTAGTTGTGATTGAATGGTTCGGCCTGTAATGCATTGTTTTCCTTTTATATTAATAATACTATTAATACGTTACAGCATTGCTTTACCTTTTGTGGATCGGTTGGCAAATGGAATTAGGCCTTGTAATGCTAGGGTGCCATTCTCTTAAGGAATTCAGGGAGGTTTCCACTTTGGGTCATGGACGTCGGTCAAAATTGACTTCCTTTTCTGTTCATAATATGCAATCGCCGATGTCATGGGGGCTACTGAAATCCGGATCATTTAATTGATAAAAGATTGGGTATGTGCGATTGATGAGTTCTACGTGATGCACTGGCCTTTCCTTCTAGGTAGAGGAACCGATTAGAATGCTACAAGTAAACTTGTGTTTCTAAAACCCGAATTTAGCATAAAAGAAAGTAAACTGAGACGTTAAATGATAGTAAGAAAGCAATAAGTAAATGATGATGACTTCTAATTGATAGGCGTTTATTTATTTATATCAAATGCAGGCGTCTTGATGGTTATCATTAGCCCTTTAGTTGACTTCAGGCTTCACAGAGGGGACGGAACATCAAATTGAAAAGGTCGAGAGGGGNAAAAAAGATTATGCTGTCAGTCTGGTGGGATCACAAAGGAATTTTGTATTTTGAACTCATGCCGCAGAACCAAACGATAAATTCAAATGTGTATGTTGAAGAACTCGAAAAACTGAAGGATGCAATTGAAGATAAGCGGCCGGCATTATCAAATCTGAAGGGTGTTGTTTTCCATCATGATAACACAAGGCCCCCGCACACATCTTTGGTTACTCGGCAAAAATTATTGGAACTGGGTTGGGATGTTTTGTCACACCCACCATATATCCCTGACCTTGCGCCTTCGGATTACCATTTGTTTCGTTCCATGCAAAACTCTTTAAATGGTAAAATTTGTAACAACGCGGATGATGTCGGATCACACCTAATTCAGTTTTTTAATAGCAAAGACCAGACATTTTACGAACGGGGAATTTTCACTCTGCCAGAACGATGGAAAAAGGTCATCGACAAGAACGGCCAATATCTAATTGAATAAAGTTATATTTTTGAACGAAAATTCCGAATTTGCCTTCTTATTTGAAATCGGCAATGACTTAGTTGCCCACCCAATAGTTGGATCAAATAAATGAATCATCCAGTTCTAGATAGCGCGAATGCGTCTACCCGGTTATCGACTCCTCCTCGTTAATTTGGTATTATATATATATATTTCTCGCTTCTTGTTTTAAATATGTCTAGCAATTAATATTTTTTATAATAAATTAAGCAAATGTAAAATATTAGGGATAATTGTTTATTTCCTATTCTGTTTGATAGAATTGATACTGTTCTTCAAAAGATCTCTTGAAAAAAATTCCCTGATTACGATACCGACTTTGCAGATGACATTTTATCATGATGGGGGTGGGGAGGGAAAGGTGTTCAACTGCCCATGTCTTTTAATTAAACTAAAATTTGTGCTGACAGTTTAATTTAAAGATTTTTCCAGGATAATGAATGGGGAAGGTGATGAACTTCAGAAATTTTGTGTATTAACGAAATATCTGAAATATTTTGTGTAATTAATTTTTCGTGTATTTGATATTTAATTTTAAGCAATTTTTTAATTTTTAAATTCTGAGAAATATACTGACTGTAGCGTTTTCTCTTCTATGCGTAACTAATTGGAGGGAATTTTCCGTTGCCAATTTTGTCTTCCCAAATTTTAAGCCGAAAAATTTATTTTTTTTTGGCTTATAGCTTTCTTGCAGTAATTCAAAATCCGTCTTAATGAGAAGTCACAAGTAAGGATTTACTTCGATGGAAATAAATATTTCTCTTATGTGAAAGTCGAAAATTGAGGCGGTCGATATTTCTCATTGGCCGAATAATTTGGAAAATTTTTAAATAACCACTCTTCCCCCCACCAATTTATTAATAAATTAATTTATTGTAATTGACTATTTCGTTTGAAATTGCTAATGAATTTTTTAAACGGTGAAATCGATGTAAATATATTTTCCCGTTTTCCAAAATTTCCCTCCTCCGGTTGAAACGGAATGGTAGAATGTTTCGTTTCACTTAGAATGAAATATCTTAGTTAAATTAACTGAAATAGAATAATTTAAACCAATAAAAATTATTAGAGAGAAAATTAATAAAATGTGCTTATTCCCGTTTTAAAGTTTTACATCTTTGGTGGGGAAAGTTTGTACCCCAATTCTTCTGAAGGCTTTAAAGTTTTAAAGCATGTATGTGAATACTTTGGGAACTTGGAGGAAATAAATATTTTTTAAAATAAAAAGGAATGTCATTTTGTTTCTCTTTCAGTTAATTCAGGTTTGAATATTTATTTATATCAATTGGGAGGCGTTTTGAAAGTTATCATTAGCCCTTTAGTTGACTTCAGGCTTCACAGAGGGGAGGAGGAACATCAAAGCGTCACAAAGTCGAGAGGGGGGGGAACAAAAGAGTGTTTCAAAGTTGTTAAAGGGACAGACACAAAGGCAGCGGAAAGGTAAGATGAGTACTGTAGAAGTGGTGGAATATAACATACAGTGGGGTGATGGTTGTCTGACGTCGGATGTCAACTGCTGGCTTACAGACTTTTTGCCGTATGAGTATACGTTGCCCAGTGTGCACCACGTGGAGGTAAGTCTATCGCACACCCCATGAATGATCTCGCGAGGCAGTCGACACCGGGTTCAAATATAGTTTGGCAACTTATTGATAGTTCCATTGACCTATTCTCTATTGTGGATGGCCACCGAACTAAATCACTCTCACAAAGGGAAGTGAGTTCTCCTATCTTGATGGTTATACATTCACCCAATAGCCTAAAATAGAAGGGTATTAGNGGAGCAGAAGAGTGTTTCAAAGATGTCAGAGACAAATACAAAGGGAGAGATAAAGGTGAGGTGAGTACTGTGAAAATAGTCGAATATGGCATAGAGTGAGTTGATGGTAGTTTGAAGTGAGAAGTCAACTGCCGGTTAATAGACCTTTTGCCGTATGAATATACGTTGCCCAGTGTGCACCACGTGGAGGTAAGTCTATCGCACACCCCATTGATAGACGTAAAGCTATGCGAATGCTAACTAATAAAGGGAAGTTAGTTATCTGGGCAAGATGTTCTTTTATCGGTCTGGTTATGTTTTCCAATAAAAGGGAAAGAAGATTTTAGGTAATATTAAACATTAACAAGATCATATCTTATTGTATTGTATCACCTGCAATTGTTTGATAGACAATCAAAATGAAATTAATTACTGGGGTACAACAATCCTACTCAAGTAGTTTAGCCTCAAAATACATATTTCCAAAGGGCCTAGACACCACAGTGGACAGCCATGGTGAAACCAGAATTAAGTCAATGTAGATTACACATCTCTCCAGGCTTTACCTGGTGTTTACTCTTTTCCCCATCATGTATCAATCTTTCCTATGTCTCAATAATTTTAATTTGAAGTGCGCAATAATATTTCAAGGAATGTGCGACGTTAACTTAAAGTGAATGGTAGCTACAAATCTTGAAATGTCCTATAACGACAAGGCTTTGCTTTTCTCTGCCGATTGGCATGATGACATGATAACCACTAAAATGATAGGGTGATAAGGAGGTGGGGTGGGGNTGAAGGCTTTAAAGTTTTAAAGCATGTATGTGAATACTTTGGGAACTTGGAGGAAATAAATATTTTTTAAAATAAAAAGGAATGTCATTTTGTTTCTCTTTCAGTTAATTCAGGTTTGAATATTTATTTATATCAATTGGGAGGCGTTTTGAAAGTTATCATTAGCCCTTTAGTTGACTTCAGGCTTCACAGAGGGGAGGAGGAACATCAAAGCGTCACAAAGTCGAGAGGGGGGGGAACAAAAGAGTGTTTCAAAGTTGTTAAAGGGACAGACACAAAGGCAGCGGAAAGGTAAGATGAGTACTGTAGAAGTGGTGGAATATAACATACAGTGGGGTGATGGTTGTCTGACGTCGGATGTCAACTGCTGGCTTACAGACTTTTTGCCGTATGAGTATACGTTGCCCAGTGTGCACCACGTGGAGGTAAGTCTATCGCACACCCCATGAATGATCTCGCGAGGCAGTCGACACCGGGTTCAAATATAGTTTGGCAACTTATTGATAGTTCCATTGACCTATTCTCTATTGTGGATGGCCACCGAACTAAATCACTCTCACAAAGGGAAGTGAGTTCTCCTATCTTGATGGTTATACATTCACCCAATAGCCTAAAATAGAAGGGTATTAGAAAGTGAACCGAAGAACGAATTAAGCAGCGATTGAACGCCACTCTCGTTTTGCCCTTATTCGCATCACTTTACCTGATTTGTTTGCCTTCTGCTTGAATTTTTTACCCAGTTTTAGAATTTTTCTTAAAATTGTTAATAAAAACCCTCCGATTCACCGCCTAGGCTTTGATTTTAACTAAATTAAAACATTGTTTTATCGCAATTCAATAAATAGTTTTACATGCTGCTAGTGTTTACTTTAAAGCATTTTGTAACCAACAACACTAAAAATTTAGCTTAAGATAAATTTCATGACCGTTGGTAACTTGTCAAAAGTAATAAATCCTATTTAATAATAACACCGATACCTTATTGTCTAGCATGCAGGAGGTTCAATATTTTAGTGATTGGAATAAAAAATTTTGAAGATGTGCTATTTTATTTAATTTGATTTGCTTTTAAAGAGGAAGATCACTAGTTAAAATCAATAACGTATTAAACGTTGACTTGTGAGGGGAGTGGGAGGTTAGTGTATTTGTTGATGATTTAAAAATGTTCACAAACGTCAAATAACCATAGAATCTTTGAGCCTTTGAGTGACAAAAAGAAAGTTATATCGTCAGTTGACTTCCCACTAGGGTGTGTGATAGACTTACCTCTACGTGGTGCACACAGGGCAACGTA